TGTTGTGACTTTTATTACAATTTTTAAAAATTAAAACATCATTCATTCACTCATTAAGTTTGCAATATTCCAGGCACTCTACTAAGGGCGAGGGATGCAAGTGTAAACAATACGCTGTTCATGCCTGCAAGGAACTTATAGGCTAGTGTGACCATCAGACAGGTGGGCACAGTGTGACCAGGGTTGTGGGAGCCTGTTGGAGGGGCACCTTAGTCCCCTATGTATGTCAGACCCAGCATATGTTTAACAAATAACAGAAGTCGGCAAAGCAATAAATGCTACAAGATCTGTGCCTTTGATTCATTATCTGAAAACTCTCTCCTAGGCAGAGCTGGAGATGGTGAGTCTGCTACTACCCAAGTGGTTTGGTTCAGAGGCCAAAGAATGATTTTCTGGGAATATTACTGAGGGTATTTCTAAGTTACTTAGAACATGTGAGCATTGTCCTTTTTTCTCACTACTCCTTCCAGATGGAATCTTCTATTGATTTTATTACTATTCTATTCACTCAACTCCCACTTCCAATACTCTTGTCTGGGTTATGACAACAGCTTCATCTTCCTGTGACTAGAGTCCACCCCACTAATTCATTCTCTGCACTGCAGTCAGTCATCCCTATTTGAAACACTTCAGCGGCTCCACATTACCCTCAGAATACCCCAGACTCCTTAGTGTGGTGTCTTAGCTCAGGCTGCCATAACAACATATCATAGACCTGGTGGCTTTCACAACAGGAGTTTATTTCTCATTAAGGTCTGGAAGCTGGGAAGTAAGATCAAGGTGCCCATCCATTAGGTTCCCTGGTGGGGGCCCTCTTCCTGACTTGCAGACAGCCTTCTCACTGTATCCTCACATGGTGGAGAGAGAGCACTTTGGTCTTTCTTCCTCTTCTTATAAGGACCCTAATCCCATCATGGGGGTGCTACCCTCATGACCTCATATAAACCTAATTACCTCTCAAAGGCCCAAACTCCAAATACCATCACATTGGGTGTTGGGGCTTCAACATATGAATTTTGGGGGCAGAAATATTCAGTCCGTAATATGTGGTTTCTCCAGCCTTTCAGGGCCCCTGTTTTCCTCTTTATCCCCATCTCTCTCACTGCTTCCCTTTAGTCTGCAACCTAGCCATGCTGATAGCTGGCAATACTTGAATGCCCCTTGTTCTTGCTTCTTTCTAGGCCTTTGTACAAGCCATTCCCTCTACCTAGAATGACTTTCCCCTCTTTTGCTAGGATAACTCCTATTTGTCCTTTAGGTGTCCTCTGCAAAGAAGCTTCCTGGGCCCCAAACCAGGTCAGGTGTCCTTCATTTGGGTTTCTGCTCTTGAGTGCCTTGTGCATTTCCCTAC